TTAACGAAAATGATATTTTTACTCTTAAAAATTACTCCTAGTACTATTTACTTAAATGTGACTACAACCAATAATAGAAATGAAGTTTTAATAAAACACTCCCGATACTGTTCACTTTTAATGAAAATGATATTTTTACTCTTAAAAATTACTCCTAATACTATTTACTTACAACACATTTTTATCTTTTTTATTAAAACTCAAAATTTTCAAATATTTCTCATTAATTTTCCTTAATAAAAGAAAGTGTGAATGATGGTGAAGAAGCTTTTCCCACTTTCCACAACTTGTGATTTTGATTGATTGCCACGGCTGGTGTTTGGGGTTACAGATCTATATTAAGAGGTCCCCAGAGTAGTGACACGACTAACTTAGATGGGGCTAACAAAGCAGCCCCGACCAAACCGTCTTAACTGGTTTGAAGATGGGGTAACACCATCATCATGGATCTTAAGGCCCAAAAACCCTAGCCCAAATTCCAAGTACTCCATGTGAATGTCATGGTTTCTTTGAAGTTGCCTTCTTTATCTTTTATGGTTTTTTTAGTTCTTTATTTTTTTTTTATCTTATATGTGGTTTATCACATCCTTTAAGACCATCTTTAATGGTGGGCTAAATGCTAAATTTTCTCCCAAACACTCTCCAACCCATGCTAAAATTTTGGGCTAAATGCCAAATGCCAAAGCTGGGCCAAATACCCCCCCAAATCCCCCCCCCCCAATGCGAGTGAACTTACAGGTTGTTGGGCTAGTCTCGGCCCGCCCACGCTCCAACGCGCCCCACGCGGTGCGCTTGCAAAGCTTTCCCAACTAGGGTGGGCCCCGCTGTCAGGCGTGTGTCGGCCACCCACAAAAACCCAACGGCTATAATTTTGATCCTATGGTTGGGCTTTAAGGACCGTTGGTTGATCCAACGGTCCAAATTCAAATTTAATTTTTTTAGAATATGTTATTTTAAAATACATTGAATCTAACAGTTGAGATCGAAAATAATCAAATCTAACGATAAAAAAAAAAGATCTAACGGCCCAAATTTAAATCCAACGGCTAAAATAATTTAAAAAATTTATTTAACTCAAAATTCACCCAAAAACTCTATAAATACCTATGTATTTGTTCAAACATCCATACAAAACTCAATTTTCTCTTACAATTCTTCCAATTTATCTTTCTACCATTTCTTTCCATTTCCAAATTGTTGAACGGTTGGTGAATTGAAAGTTAGCCCAGGGTTGAAAGATTGGCAAAAGTTGAAGGCTTGCTTTGTGGAAATTCAGTGATTTTTCAATATTTATCAAAATTTAAATATTTTTTAGATTAAAATGTTCATAAAATTAATTTACGATAGTCTACATATTTATTTTTTTTTAATTTAATTTAAGAAAAATAGCCTAAGCTTATTCTTTAATAATCTCAGGCTAAAATTTTAGGCCAGAATGGTTGGAGCAAAAAAGCTGATTTTGGGTTAAAAGCTAAATTTTCCAGGCTAAAATATTTGGCTTTTAACCCAACCATTGGAGATGATCTAAAAGGAGTGGATCCCTATTTTTTTTTTTTTTAAAAAAAAAGGAATTAGTTATGGGTCTCACTTCACATCGAATTTCAACGATCTGAACCATCTATTTTATAAGTCTCAATTAATAGATCATCCTTGCAAAAGTTCAATTTAATCTGAAACCATTTGCCTATTTAATTATCATGATGAAATTTCAATGTTTCTCTAAAAAAATAAAGTATTCGTCAATTTCTTTGAACTTAAATAGATGCCTCAAATATTTCCAATTTGGCTAATATTTTGAGATGATGATCTATGAGGTGCAGTGTCACATCCCGGCCCGGGGTGGATCACTTCCCGGGCCCGCTCCACCACCATAGCACGATATTGTCCGCTTTGGGCCCCGACCACGCCCTCACGGTTTTGTTTCTGGGAACTCACACGAGAACTTCGCGATGGGTCACCCATCCTGGGAATGCTCTCGCGTGCTACTCGCTTAACTTCGGAGTTCCCATGGAACCCGAAGCCAGTGAGCTCCCAAAAGGCCTCGTGCTAGGTAGGGATGGGAATATACATATAAGGATCACTCCCCTGGGCGATGTGGGATGTCACAATCCACCCCCCTTAGGGGCCCGACGTCCTCGTTGGCACACACGTGACCAGGGTTAGGCTTTGATACCAATTGTCACATCCCGGCCCGGGCCTCCACCACAACCCGGGCCCGATCCACCACCGTAGCACGATATTGTCCGCTTTGGGCCCCGACCACGCCCTCACGGTTTTGTTTCTGGGAACTCACACGAGAACTTCCCAATGGGTCACCCATCATGGGATTGCTCAAGCCCCCTTCTCGCTTAACTTCGGAGTTCCTACGGAACCCGAAGCCAGTGAGCTCTCAAAAGGCCTCGTGCTAGGTAAGGATGGGAATATACATTTAAGGATCACCCCTGGGCGATGTGGGATGTCACATGCAGCTTAAAAAAATAGACAGTTCAGATAATTAAAGTTCAATATGATGTGGGGCTTACAACTAATCCTCATTTTCATAAAATAAAATAAATGAGATTCCTTTTCTCAAAGGCTTCCTGTAGTTTATATGTTCTTGCCTTCTTTATTCATGCCATTTGATTGAAGCAAAGCAAAGGTATTGTGATACAATTACTCTAAAAAAAAAAATTAATTTGTTGATTAGTCACAGATATTAAAATAGGTAAAAAAAAAAAAAAACATAAACGGCTGAAATTATGAAACAACATTGCACGACAAGAGAACATTCTTGTTATTATTTTTTGTAGAATGCAATGATGTATTTACATTAAATATAAAAGAATGAAGGACTCATGCTAAGCTACACAAATCACAATAAGTTTATCTTAATAATTTAGTATCAAACTCGCTAAAAACGAGATTTAAGCATAAAAAACTTCTTACTTACAAGTAAAAATGAATACCATTAAATTTGAATTTCTTTATTAAAATATTTTTTCATTCATAATCGCAATTTCCCAGCCTCCCTTCTTTCCTCTGCAAACGTAGTCTAGTCCTGCCTGCAGTTTCTCCTTCCTGGCCTCCCCATTTACCATGCACCACGTGTTCCTAGTCAAGCTATTCGACACGTCCCCCACCCCGTTGACTGGAGCAGTTGCATGCTAGTTTCCAGATACCGATGACCGACGGTGGTTGTAATTCTTTAGTCATTCGACGATAAACGATATGTCGTACACCTCCGCTCGTTGGGGAAGAAGAGCCCGTAGTTTCTCTCCGATGTGGGACCAAATTTCTTGTCATCATTGAATAGAGCAAAGAGGTTGACAGTCAGATCTGCTTTGGGCCTCAAGGAGGTCCCTCCGCCAGTTAATACCCGACAGATAAGGAACTTGGTGGTGTTGTGGGTGTCAACGAATACCTCATTGCCGACGCCGATAGCTTCGATCTGGGTGTTGGGGTGGTAAGCGACGACGTTTCGTTGGACCCAGTTGGTAGCGAAAGACTGAGACTTGGCAGTGGAGGAGAGGAGCTCGTTGGGGAGGTCGATTGTGACCTTGATGTTGGATCCAGCTAGGGCCAGGATCTTCTCCACCACTCCATCAGCTCCAAAATCTATATGTCTCTTCCGATCTTCTCCACCACTCCATCAGCTCCAAAATCTATATGCCTCTTCCGATCTTCTCCACCACTCCATCAGAGCCTTCCGCCTCTCCAGTAAGCTCAGATCCCTCACCTCCGACGACCCTAAGTTTTTCAATCTTGCCAAGGCCGCTCAACTCCATTACAAGATCTTAGCTCTCTACAACGAATACGACCTCGCTGTCATTGATGTGGTCAATTCCGAACTCGAGTGGGTCAAAGAGACCGGAGACAAGTTGCGTACGAAGGATAGAGGGACGAAGAGTATGAACCAGGGCGAGGTGGGGATTACAATTTGGGGAAGTTGAGGCAGGCTATGGATCAGAGGAGATGAGGGTTGAAGAGGAGAGAATGAAGGGAGTATGGGTGGGGGTTGCAGAGGAGAAAAGGGAAAGGAGGGTACGGGTTGCAGGGAGGGAGGGAGGGAGGGAGGGAGGGAGTGGGGGGGGGGAGGTTGGGGGGGGGGGCGGGAAAGGAGGGTACGGGTTGCAGGGAGGGAGGGAGGGAGGGAGGGAGGGAGTGGGGGGGGGGGAGGTTGGGGGGGGGGGGCGGCGTGGTGTAGGGGGAAAGTTGAAGACGGGTGGTTTGTTTTTATTTTTTTATTTTTTTTTTTAGAATTTTTAATTTCCATATAGACCTTTTAAGGACAAGTGGCGTCTAGTCATTGTCTACATGGGCACCACGTCATCAGTTAATGAGAGACTTAATAACCAGACTAACATATGTATGAGACTGTCTCAAAATTAACACGTTAGGTATGACTCTGGGACAAAAAAAATTTCATGTACCAAATGTTGAAAATCACGAAACTTGAAGGTAGTAAATTGAGATTTATCCTTTATTAAATTATGAGATTTAATGAAAAGGATTTGAGCTAATTTTAATTTAATAAACAATCACAATAAACTATTATTTAATTAAAATGATTTAAAATTTAATTATAATAACATAACTATTCATATATCAGACCCTACAATCATAAAAACTTACAAACTAAAGTAAAAGCTCAACAAACAGTAAATGTGTTTTTCAAACGTACCCCTGATAGAACCTAAACAAGCTCGTTTATTGTCTTTGCATTTTTTGTCACGTATGGGGCTTTGGTTTTGCCTCATTTTCCACACCCACCACTGTCAGGTACTTACTTTATTTTTATTATTTTATTTTTGTTGTTTTGTGTAGGGGTGAGCAAATGGGTACTAGACCTGCGGGCGGGTTGGGTACATAAGGTTCAGGGTTGGTACGGGGCGGGTCTTAAAATTGTAAAACACAAACAGGACGGGCCGGGGTGGGTTCAATAAATTAACTGGGCAGGGCCGGTCCAAAAGGCCCAAGAAACAGGGCCCCGGCCGAACCCATTTCTCCCAAGCCCACTCAATTTTCCGATCCAAAAGTCCAAGTACTGCGTTGGTTTTGTGCAGTACACTAGTACTTGTACTACATTTCACTTAGTTTTTTTCACTCATTTCACCCTTTTTTTTTTCACTCTTTCTTTCTTTATTTTTGTTTTATTTTTTTCACTCATTTCACTTTTATTTATTTCTTTTTTTTTCCCACTCAAACCCTCTTCTTCTCCATCCCACGATCCCCAAACTCCATTAAGGACAAGAAGATTGAGGATTCAATCGAGAGACTGCCATCCAGTGGTTGGACAACAACCAGTTGTCGGATGCCGATGAGTTCGAAGACAAGATGGAATTGGAGAGCATCTGCAACCCAATCACAAGGTGAAATTATTTAGGTTTTGTGAACTTGAAATTTTATGTTTTATTTGGGACTTGAAATTATAGATCAATGCTTCTTTTTTTTCCCTATTTGCAGAACCTTTTGGTTGATGAGTAGGAAGAGGAAATCACAAGGGAATTGATTGAAATTGCTTAGATTCAGAAACCCTAAGGTATTCCCCTTCTTTTATTTTTTGAATTCATAGCCGATGAGAAGGCAAATTGGATTCATGGGTTTGTATGAAAGAGTTATGTGAAAACCTTAATTTAATCCCTAATTTGCCTTGAGAGTGCAGATATTGCGGTGGTTGTTTTGATGGAACCGCGGATAACGATGTTGTTCGAAGAAGCGAATCTTCAAATGAGGAGAACAAAGAGGAAAGACCACCAGACTTGAGGCGTGAGTGAAAGATTTGGACCCGTGGGGACTCGTAAGAACCAGCTCGTTTCAAAAGGGCCAGGTTAGGTCCGGATCCTATTTTGAAAAATCCAAAATCTGCCCCGCCCTGCCCCATTGTATTTACGAACAGATCCGGTCCGGTTCCTTTAATTTTGGGCTCGACCCGGCCCATGCCCGCCCCTAGTTTTGTTTATGTGTGTGTGTGTGTTTTCGAAGTTGGTATTTTTTTCTATGAGTAGCTATTATGCATGTATGCAGTATAATACTATTCGACTATGTTTATGTACAACTTTTCATCTTTGCCTTTCTTAACTAAGAGCCAGAAAGATGTGGTTTGAAAGGAAATAATGAAATATTAAGCGTTCGACCTAGCAATTTATAATTGTTTTTACTCTTTTGTGGCCTAAAAATTTGAAGTATTCAAAATCTCTCTAACTCCAATTAATTTATGGGAGTTTTAATGAAAAGCCCACGGTATTGTTCACTTTAACGAAAAACCATATTTTTACACTAAAAAGTCAATCATGGTACTATTCACTTTACCCTTTATTTTGTCTTTATTATTAAAACTCAAAGTTTTCAAACCCTTTTAATTAGTTTTCCTTTAATTTATTAACTAGCAAGGAATGTACGCGCTATGCTGTGGATTTTAAAAATATATACGATAGACAATATTATTTACATGTATGTGAAAATCTACTTACAACTCTATTACAATAACGAACAAAATAGGAAATGATTTTGTCCTATCTACTTACAACCCTATTTACTCCTCGAACAAATATTTATCATGGTCATCATTTAAAATTTGCCAGGTGATAAACTAGCGATAAGAGTATCTCTTATGTATCAACAGAATTTATCAATCTAAGAATTCGAGAATTTGAAATTAACTTGCACAAGCAACATATTTGTTTTAGGATGTTCTTTTTGTAATTCACTCTGAAATCCTATCTATATAAAATACAACAAAAAAAATTATAAAAAAAATGATAAAATCGATGAGATAATTCACACAAATAAAACTACAAAATCAATGATAAACTTCACTCTGAAACTTAATGTGCTCTCTTTGTTGTGGTTGTAGAAATAGTGTGAGTTGTTTTATTATGTTTTAGAAATAATGTGAGTTATTTTGCTGTAATTTCAGAAATAGTACTTATTTTGTTCTCTTCCATAAATACAGTGAATTATTTTGGTTCAGTTTTCAGAAAATAGTGTGTAATTTTGTTGTAGTTTCAGAAATAGTGGGTTATTTTGGTTTAGTTTCAGAAATAGTATGGGTTATTTTGCTGTATTTTAGAAATAGTTCAAAAAATAGTGAGTTATTTTGGTTCAGTTTTAGAAATAGTATGAGTTATTTTGTTGTGGTTTCAGAAATAGTTCCTAAAATAGTGGGTAATTTTTGTTCAGGTATAGAAATAATGTGGGTTATTTTGTTGTGGTTCCAGAAATAGTGTTTATTTTGTTCCCTTCCATAAATTGTTGTAGTTTAATTTTTATGAACAATGTGTAATTTTGCAAAGTTTCATAAATAATGTGAGCTGCAAAGTTTTAAAAATAGTGTTAGTTATTTTGTTGTAGTTCCAGAGATAATGTAAGTTATTTTGATTCAGTTTTCAAAATAATGTGGTTAATTGCGTTGTACTAAAAATAATGTAGGTTATTTTTGTTTAGTTTAGAAAATAGTGTTGATTATTTTTCTGTAATTTCATATATAGTACTTATTTTGTTTCTTTCCAGAAATAGTGTAAGTGATTTTGGTTCAATTTGAAAAACATAGAAAAACCTACAATTAGGAAATTTTGGGTTATTTATAGTTCTAGAAATTGTGTGGGTTATTTTGGTTCAATTTCATAAATAGTGTGGGTTATTTTGCTATAGTTCCAGAAATAGTGTGTGTTATTTTGGTTCAATTTTATAAATAGTGTAGGTTATTTTGCTATAGTTCCAAAAATAGTGTTATCTCGGTTTATTTTCATAAATAATGTGGGTTATTTTGCCATAGTTCTAGAAATAGTGTGGATTATTTCGGTTCAGTTTCATAAATAATGTGAGTTATTTTGCTATAATTCCAGAAATATTGTAGGTTATTTTGGTTCGGTTTTCATAAATAGTGACTGTAGCAATATCCGTCTACACTTGGAGTATTTTCCTCGCAACAAAGGAACATTTAAAATTGTAAAAGCACTTCCTTTCAGAGCTCAACTAGATAACAAGCACCCAAAACTCAAATTTCTTCATCCTTGACACTATGACTTTCTAATAATAGATCCACAAACATTTGGAAACGTAAAGAACATTTCCGTTCACCCAAAATTTTCAACTAGAGTCGGTGCTTACACAATAGCTAATGATTTCATCAACATAACATCATTAACCACCGTCACCAGACCCACACTTCTTGCCAAGAAGTATGACTTGCAGCTTGTCATGGCCAACAAGCACATTGGCACTTGCAACAGCACACAATATGTTTGCTCCAACACCCTTAAACATGCATTCTCGTTTTTTTTATAATTTGCTTAAATGCATCTTGTTTGGGTTAATAGTTAACTTTGGGCTGCAAAGGAAATTCTACCCGAGGCCCGGCTCCAAACCCAAATGCCTATTTCAATACAATATGACGACTCCCCATTAAATGCAAAGGATAGTTGCTTACAAGAGAAGTGACAACCGATAGAAAATCCACCTACTTTTGGCCCAAAAGCACTTTCTGAATGGTAGAACATGTAAAAAGGGTGATGACTCACTACCTTTCAATTACTTTCGAGTAAGAGAAGACACAACATAGTCGGGTTAATTCGCCTATAAAAGGAGGAAGAGGGCCCAGAGATAAAGACACTCAACCAATCAAACAAATAAAGATACAACTTGCCTCTCAGTCAAGCAAATACCCAGAAAGCTGCGCTTTGTCCAGATTCTGCACCCTTTAGCCTTAGACTCCCCTTAGAAAGACATATTTTCGTCTATGTAAAAGTTCTACTACCTTTTCTAAATGCTATAGTATCGATTCTCTTGTGTAAACTTGTTTACCATTCATCCCTCTTTAGTACTCAACCCTTTTGTAATTGCAAAGAGAAGAGGCTGCAAGACATTTAACCTTGCCCGATAAGGTGAAATCTTGCCCGACTCTCTTTGTATCATCTTTCAATTAATAGATCTAGTGTTATAATGTATTCCTTAGTATATATTCAAGTCATTTCCAATCTCTTAATGATTCAAAGCTCCATCAGTTCTTAGATCTGGTTTCCTTAGTGGTTTTTGCTGTCATAAGAAGATTAAAAGTGAACTAAACTGATGACTTAATCAAATTTGGACTTCCACCCTATAAGCATACAAGATAAATGAAAGTCCTTGATCTCAAGGCATAGAAAAGAACTTATTGTAGACTTAACTCATGTACGACGATCCTTTGATAACAAGAAGTTAGAATAACTTAGGGTGCAAGTAATCAACTTAAACACATTTGTTCTACATCTGCCATATTGAGATAGCAGTGGCACGCCTTTGCACTCAGTTAGTTTTGATTGTGAGCCTTAAGGCCTACACCTAAGGCCCCACAAAGGCACCTTTCAGAACTAACTGTGTCCTCCTCTTGCAGCATCCTAACGCAGGAGCCCAACAACCAACCAAAGTGCCAACTCCTTGGGGAGTTGTGTGCTCGAGCCATGAACGCCCACCGTCGAGATTTCCTGCCCGAACACATCCAAGGAGCTGTTGTATTTAACTGTTTCTCCTGAGTTCATCATCATCTCTCTGCGCACTGTGTCAATGGGGTAAGAAGCTAATCTAACACCAATTGTAATTCTCCATCCCAACAAGAAAACAAGAAGCTAGCAAAGAAGCTATCCTACAACCACCAGTTAGAACCACATGTTCAGAGAATCGTACATTCCAAAGTAAAGCTGACGATACACGATAATTCCAACACAACCAAACCATTAAACTGCCTTTCAACCACCCTTCTTGGCAGCCTTGATATCATTTGCCAAACGTGTTCTTGCATAGTCCAGAGAATATACAAAAATAAAAGATGAAGCACCAGCTGCACCACCTGATACCAGGTTCCCAGCGAACCACTTCCAGTAGCCATCTTTATCCTTCTTGAAGTTATTTTACACTACCTAACACAAAAACAGTACATGTGTCCAAACAACAAATGCTAACTCCAAACTAATAACCATAAATCACCATTCCAAGAAAATAACTTTTATTTTAATATTCAAAATCATGAAATTCTCTTTAAGCCAAACAATTGCAGAGAACTCCAGGTCCTCCATAATTCGGGGCGATTTATCCACATTTCCTACATAGGTTTTACTATGAAGTACCTAAAATGCTCCATTGAGCTGTCAATCATTAATCATGTTTAAGTTTTTTCTTTAATTTGCTTTGGCAATTTTGTTTCCAAGCACTGACCTTGCATTCAACGGAGCAATAATAAAAAATATGCAATTTTCACAGAGCAATATAAATAATTTTTAAAAATTATGCATACAAACACAAAGGGGACATATCCAATAACTAATATATTTGATAGATCATCCCAGATTGCCGGAGAAATTTCAAAATATATAGATAACAAGTCAAAAATGTGTTCTTTTTGGTTTGCAGACATGGAACTTGCTTATTAACAGTAGTATAAGGGAATGTTAAAGGTCGAAAAAGATTGATTAGAACTATAAAATGTATGAAGAAATTAAGGGAAACTATAATACATATTGGAGAAATTTCTTAAGAAATGTCATGAAGAAGTGCATGTACCTAGCAGTACCCCCAATGTTGCGAATACTCATGCTGCGGATGCCTAGAACCCAATAGCCCCAAATTCCTTCATCCTCAAAGACTCCTAATATGGTGATTCGAAAAATGGTGAATTCGAATGGAATTGAAAATGAAAACAGAGATTAGGAAGCAATGAACAATCCAATTTGTGATACGGAAGCACTCCATACTCATGTTGTAAAGGGCTGCAAAGAAGAGACCACTGAAACAGTGGCAATATGAAAAGAAAATTTACAAAACGAAAACATAATACTATAAGGAACAAAAACCAAAGTTGAAATGAACTGAGCTATAGTTAAAAGATAAAATGCACGCAAGCAACATTGAGAGAGTTCTCGGATATACTATTCTTATATTGAACCCTGTACTATTACTATTTCTTAAATTGAATCTGACTATTTCTAGAACTGAACACGAGTATTATCACTATTTCTTAAACTGAACATGCCTGAAACAAAAACACAATTTCAGGGCACCTACATATACAACAATAACACCACATAAATTATCATGCACAAAACCCTGATTTTCATCCACAAACACCAAAAATAACATAACGATTTTAAACCCCATGTCCAATTACTAAGTTTCGAGTTTTGACACCCCTAGATTAAACCAGCGGTTCAAACATGGTAGGGGTTTTGTACTAATACGACTAGGAATGTGTAGGAACGTGTTGGGTTTATTATGTTAATTACTGCAAAACCCAATTCATGGAGCTCAAAAAATAATTAAAAATTAGTGAAGAGCCAAATTTCTCCAATACTATCGCGAGTAAAACAACATCAAATTATCATGGAAGCAACTAAAGCAATCAAATTATACTTAAAGAAGAAAAAAAATACACACACACACACACACACACACAATCAGCTGTAAAAGCTCGTAACCAATGAATCAAAAGCAGAAACAAAAAATGGAACAGGTTTTTACAGAATAATTCTTAAAAAATCGAAAAAAAAAATAGAGAGGAAGAAGAAGTACATAATATCAATCCTAATTTAGCAACGGTTTGAGAATTTTGAGTACCTTTTTGTTGATTGAAGACGCTTCGATCGGAATCGGACTTGGAATTGAGGATTTTAGAGAGGGAAGGAGGTGAGTGGAGAGAGAGGGAGAGAGAGGGTGGACGGGAATTAGGTTGTCGAAGTGTGAAAATAGATAGCAATTGGATTAAGAAGTAGTTGGAGAAATTTGAAATGGAGGATCAGATGTATATCTATTACATACTTCTTTTGAATGGGCGCAGAGCTCAGCAACGGCATGGTATTCAAGTCGTCAAACCTAATGTTGGAGCAAGAATGATGATACGGGTAAAAACGGAAGTTAGATAAATTATTTTGTTTGGGCCAATCTTAACGGGCTGCTTTGACATTAAGTTTTGTCCTAACCATTAAATAAAACTATTACTGTTGTGGCCTATATTTAATAGAGAGGAGAGGCAAAGGGAAGAGAGAAGGATGAAGAATAGACTTGGGAATTGTGTGTTAATTCCCCAGTCCTTGTGCCTTTATTTATAGTAATAAGGAGGAGAGAAACTTGCTCTCCAAGTAATATAAAGTATATTAGGAAATATATTCTAGATCCCAAATGATTCCTATTCTATCTCTACTCAAGATTTACACAATCACATATTGATAAGAACATATGTAACAACGCTCCCCCTTGAGTGTGCAAATACTTAAGTAGACGGCACATCAGATCTTCAGGCAAATGTAGAAGTAGTTGATGAAGTTGTCTTGTCTAGTCGGCACAAGTAGCGAATGCGAGTCTCAAAATGAACAGAAGAATGCATGGGTGGTAAAACTTACAAAACCTCACTATGGCAAAACCCATAGGCTAAGGAGAAAAGTGAGAAGTTGCATGAAGTCAAAACTATATGTTTTCTGGACGCAAGTAGAAGAGATCACAAGGATATAACCAGCCCAAGATGGGTGCCTCATTAAAACTTAATTAGGTAGCAAAAACCCAGTGGGAAAAATTCTCCTAATCGTTGGGGAAAAAACGTACATTAAGATCAAGTGAGTATATTTCTGGATACTCCCCCTGAGTTTCACAAAACTTCCAAATGAAACTATAAGCATCGCAAATGAGAAGTTACGCATACTAATTCCTTGGACATGCTTCTGGAATGTAGACTTCAATAGTGACTCCGTGTAGATGTTGACAAGGTTGTTTGGGATTGGACTGCTTGACTTCAATCTTCTGATACTCATGCTGATGTAGACACAATATTCTTGGTGTTGACTTGTTGGATGTATTATAATCTGGTTAATACATATAACGTTGTATTCATGGATCGTTGTTGGGACTCAACGATGGATGAAAATCACAGGGATTTTGAATATGCTCAACAAGAGTTCTCGACCATATTTCTCACGTGATGAGATATAGTGAGTCTCTTGGAACGATTCAAAGGTTTCGCAAAAAAAGGTCTATCTAGTTGACCTCCAAGATGTTGCGGTGTTCCTTAATGGTAAAGACTTAACCATTCGAGAACGTACCTTGTGAGGTCAAAAAGATGGTCTGATTCAGCGAATCCCACAAGGTAAGCATCATTCCAAAGATCAAGGGGGTGTGATCTATTCTGAGATGCATAGGGATAGATAAACCCAAATCCTTAGTAACGGAAAAACGTCTTTAACACCAAATTTGGTGGTGGCGTGTTAGGCGCAGTGTTGCTTTATGCTAAAAGATTATCAGCACATAAGATGTCCGATCTAGTGCATTTGTGCTAAGTACAACAAATGCCCATGGTACTTAGATATGGCTACCTCACATTCAAATATGGAACCTTATGCTTCATACCCTTCTGAAAGGTCTCATCTGCATCTAGCATATAGACGATCAGGGTATACTTGGACTTAACACCTTTTGAGTCTAGTTCGAGTGGTGGACCAGAATACCATTAGAACTAGCTTAAAACTTTAGGTCGAGGTAATGTCGAGGTTTCCCAAGATCAATCATCTTAAAGTCTAACTTTAGGTGTGAGTCAGTTTTCTTAACTCTAACAATTTCTGATTTTGTACACGCAGGGGCATATATCCCTACTGATCAAATATTCACTTAGACGGGTATACCACATCCTTTCGGATAGTTTTGCATCCGTAAATTGAAGGCTTCTTGAAAACTAAGAAGGTGTTCTTGTGCTCTAGAACTATTTGAATAAGTACATGTAAGTCATTTGGAAACTCCATGTAGGTTCGTATCAGGATCCCATAAATACTACAACCACGTTTATAATGCTACAATCAATCACATGGCGTATGAAAGAAGCCTTGCGCCATAAGGCATCATATCGCACTACTTTGTAAGATCCCACATCGCCCAGGGAAGTGATCCTTATATGTATATTCACATCCCTACCTAGCACGAGGCATTTTGGGAGCTCACTGGCTTCGGGTTCCATAAGAACTCCGAAGTTAAGCAAGTAGTGCGTGAGAGTACTCCCATAATGGGTGACCCACTGGGAAGTTCTCATGTGAGTTCCCAGAAACAAAACCATGAGGGTGTGGTGTAGTCAGGGCCCAAAGCGGACAATATCGTGCTACTGTGGTGGAGCGGGCCCGGGATGTGACAATTTGGTATCAGAGCCTAACCTTGGCCGTGATGTGCCGACGAGGACATCGGGCCCCTAAGAGGGGATGGATTGTAAGATCCCACATCGCCCAGGGGAGTGATCCTTATATGTATATTCTCATCCCTACCTAATACGAGGCCTTTTAGGAGCTCACTGGTTTCGGGTTCCATGGGAACTCCGAAGTTAAGCAAGTAGCGCACGAGAGCATTCCCATGATGAATGACCCACTGGGAAGTTCTTATGTGAGTTCCCAGAAACAAAACCATGAGGGCGTGGTCGGGGCCCAAAGCGGACAATATTGTGCTACGGTGGTGGAGCGGGCCCAAGATGTGGTGGACCCCGGGCTGGGATGTGACAACTTCATTCATCTCATTCGTCATAAATTGATTCTTTTAGTTGATCAATCAGTTCTACATTGACACTAATCAACGGAACGCGATTCGTTATCTTTGCTTTTCATTTACGTCGATAGTTCCCATATAAATGAAACATCATCTATGATAATCTCATTCCAATTCCATATCTCATCCAAACTAGCATACTGGACGAAGAACTTCAGGTCTCAGGAGTAATCTGGATTTAATCTCATGAGATGAAAAGGTTTAAGACAACAATCGAGGGGCGGATTTGTTCGTTCCATATTCCTCCATTTTTGCAGAAGTGAATCCTCAAACCAAGTGATCTGCCATGCTTCTAGCGCATGAGAAATTGATTGGTTAGCCGCCAATGTACAAGGGTCGGCCACAATTGCAGCGTTCCTGCTTTCGGTATGAAGGTCCGTTGTAAATTTGGTACATATCTTTGTAGGCACATTTGCAGCTGGTATATGTGATCTCGTCACTTTTACTAGATCAGAGGAAATGTCTGGTTATACTCTGACGATCTAGATTGGGATCGATATGAGACATAGTGGGGACGTCCACAATAATTCGCATTGTTCTTATCTCCCTCTAACGATGGGAAGACTGTCTCATAAAAGTGACAATTCGCAAAATGAGCAGTAAAGAGATCACCTGTCAAAGGTTCATAGTAACGAATATTAGAAGGAGAATCATAACCGACATAGATTTCCATCCTTTTTTATTTTGTACGTAAGGGTGGCGCAAATGTCATATAGACCGCACAACCAAAGATGCGTAGATGCGATATGTCGGGTTCTTATCTGGTAACCAACTAACACGCAGTTTATAAGGTTGGGTCATGACATAGCCCCAAGCAGAGATCAGGAACTTTGGTACATATGACCAATCGATCGCGCAATCATTTGAAGGCGTTTAATGAATGATTCTACTTTGTCGTTTTAGGTATGAACATAGGGTACTAGATGTTCAACTTCAAAACCCAACTGACATGTAATATCCATCGAAAGTTTTTCGATGTAAATTCCAAGGTTCTAAAAAACGCTAGGCGCTAGTCGGGCGACGGACTAGCGCCTAGGCGGATTTTAAGTAAATTTCTTATATATCTTGTAAATAAGTGTATACTGATACTTACAAAAAATTATACTTGTATGAAATCCTTGAAGAAGATAGTAAAAGATTAATAAAATGCGTATCTACCAAGTCCAAAAAATCCATAGCACTTGATGCTATGAACTGATAGCCTGACAATCAATGTTTATTTAATGAGAAAAAAATTAATTTTTTGTCATGCTATTAATTTTTTGTAGATGGCAGCTTGTCTGCCCTTTGTCCTAGAAGAGATGAATGCTCCATTAATAGCCTGACAACCTTTTTTCTTTAAGAAAAGTCAAGACTAGCTGTCCAAACTTGAATGGACAGAAACAAAATAATAATAATAATAATAAATTAAATAGTTGAAAAGTGATCACGTGGGTGTGGAAAAAAGAGTGAGAAACTAATTCTCTCATCTTTTTCCTCTTCGCTAACATAGACCAGAAGCATGAAGTTCAGAAAAACCAGAAGCATTCATCCTTCCTCAAGTTCGAACACAGAAAAAATTGAAATTCCCAGACCACCTGGGTCACCCAATCACCCGCCTAGGCCGCCTCAGTGCCCGCCTAATCCCTGTCCTGATTTTGCTTCTGATTTTGCGTTAATCCCGACGATTGGACACCGCCCAGCACCTAGGCCGATTTTTAGAATACTGGTAAATTCTCCGACTTATCTAATCAAATAAATTTGATTAGATAATCAGGGTGGTGAGCACATTTGAGCTACTAGAGTGGAGAATGAAGCTTGTGGACAACAGCTACACGTGTGACCAACGTGTAGGAGTATCAACCAATACTATAAAGTATCTAAATAGTCCGCAGAGGGGTTGAATTTGTCCACAAATGTCCCCTTTTGAATCCTTTGTAGAAAGATGGATGGTGCTAAGGTATGATACTCATCCAGGTATGATGTATTTACTTCTAGTAAAGAGATGCCCAAAACGGCGCAACACAGATCATCCTAGATACCACAAACATACATCCATAGCAAAAATTTCTTTGGAATCACGGGCTTCTGGCTGGCCACATAGGGGCGTGAATGGGAATAATTCACTCGTTGAGCGTTTCATCTTCTCTAGAATATGCATTTGGCTATAGTCGTTAGAAGTGCAATATGGTAATATGCCAAGGAATTTTACTCCATTTTCTACGTTGGTTTCAATATGGTAATAATACTCTCGAATATCCTTAAAGCTCATAAAGGGCGTTCTTCCAGAACAAATGAGTATAAGGCTTCCCTTTATGGTAAAATTAGTACCATTTGACAATATTGGACAGTGCCATGCCCCACAATCAGGTTAGATAAGCCTGAAAGGTTGTCAGGGGATGATTAG